TTATTGGGAAGTTTGTGCGATCCAGTCCCAGCCCGCGCTCAGATTTCAGAAGCGGAAGGACGTGAATAAAGACATAAGCAACACCTTGAGAACAAGCTCAAAGTTGAACTTATAGCTTTCCCTCGCGTCTTTTTTCTTTAAATAAAAAAGAGTAGCCACTACATCTTCGTGTGCACCGAGGACGGTGGGGAGTCAGCCTCCTTTTTCTTTTCTTTTTTTTTCTTGTTTGCGTTTTGTGCGGGGCAGGTGTCTGAGTCGCTGTGAGTTCCGAATACGGGGCTTTACTGGACAAAAGGCCAGATGCCGTCCAGTTGTAAGAACAATTTTAGAGCTCCAGTCCCTTCCGACGTGTTTACGTGATTTTTTTCTTATATTTTCTTGTTTCACGGCAAATAAAGTATGTCGTTTCCTTCCCGAGAAGGAGGCTCGAGGTTTCCAGTGTTTTGTCGAGTAGAGACGAACACCAGAGCCCTAGCTCAGCCTACAAGCGAACCTAGTGTCGTCCTGGAGAACGATACTCACAATAGTCACCACATCCCCTGATCAGTTTTCCGCGAATTTTTTTCGTTTCCCTTGCATAGCTTTTTTTTTTTTTTTGCAAGAATTTTGCGTTTTTGAAGTGTTAGTAGGGTGTCGCCCTTGTTAAATTCTGTCTTTCCCTTAACTATCTTTTTCTCCTCGTACTTATGTAGAAATGTTTTATCTATATGAACTGTTTTTTTTTTCTGCTGTAAATATTTTCTACTGAGGTCTCGCCTCCAGCTCGCTGATCCACGGCTACAAAATACGCGAGAGGTCCCAACAGTGAGCATTCAGCATGTCTCTTCCACTGTCGCCATGGCCCTCTTTGGATCCGACGTTCAAACTGAAAGGCACCAAGGGAACTACGAATTTAGAGTTTCAGTGTCTACTCTGCCTCCCCGAAAGAAAGTTTCTTTCATCTGCCAAGTCCAGAATTCGATCCAAAGAAAGCACGTAAAGGTGAGCGTTTTTTTTTAATTATTATTTTTATTCTTTTGTGAAAACCAGTGATTTAAAAAATTTAAAAATTTTCTGATTGCATAACGATTTTACACTCGCAACATTGCTTTTGGTTATTTTTTTGAGCCCTAGTGTATCCGCTGATGTACGGCGTAAAGTACGCTTCGAACAGTTGATGAAGATATTAATATTTATTTGAGCTCAGGGGAGCCGCGGCAAGTTGCTGAGGGAGTTTACGCAAATTGTATTTTCGGATATCGGCAGCTCATAATGATGCTTCCAAGCATACCATTGTGAAACGAGCGATATGGGTGTGCGATTCGGTAAAATATTTGATCTCCTAAAACGTTACCATACTCCATTTCCACTTTAAATGTGAGCGTAGCAGAAGCTACAAAAGCGAGCTCCGGGCTTTCAGTGTCACTGCCAAGCACGCATGGTCGTGCAGTGCAAGCACATTGTTCAGGGCCGCATGCTCGCGCTTGTAGCATCGGCTGCGCCTGTACTTAAGCTGAAACGAAGTATAGTGCTTATAATTAAAAACGGTACTGGGCTTAGAGATATACTCCGTGTAAATTAATTTATTGAAGAAACTATGCATAATATTTTGGTTTCGAATATCACTAATTGCATACTGCTTCGTGGGTAAAAAGAACCCAGCACAGGGGGAGCTATAAACACAATAAGTAAGAGCAGTATATTTCATTCTATACTTTTTGAAGCTTTTCCTTTATAAAGCGATTATTCGCAGTGCCTACGCACTTAAAGGGGCGATGCAACAATTTTTGCACTTTGCACAAATACCACTGAAAACGGATCTCTGACATTAACGACCTATGAAACACGCGTTCGTTTTTCACCCCACGCAATAGAAGTCCCAGAAAAAAATTAAAGAAAAACGAGCAGCGTTCACCCCCTCAACTCGCAGCCAGAACAAACGGCCACGTGATCTGGAGCCGATTATATGCCGCCAATGTTGATCATAGCCACGCGCTGAGGTTGGCAAAGCACAGGACACGCGCTGAGTTCCAGACATTGTTACGGCTCGGCTATTTCTCGTCGTTGCAGCGATTGGACACGGGCCCCATACCCGAATGCTTCTCGAGCTAGTAATTATAACGAGAACAAATCGAGTGCCCACGCAATGCTCGGGTCCAATCTATGAACCGCATTAAAATATCGTCATTGGGGTGTACTGCGAGGCCAACTTTACGTCATCAAATTTTGCAAAGGAAAGATTGACTGGAAATGATCGCTTTTGTCCTTGAAATTACACCGCAACAAAGGAGTTTCTTGGCAAGTGCCGTTGCGTGCGAGTATCCTTGAGTTCCACCAGTGCCAGTAATCTCGTGTAAAGTGAAAAACATTCCAACTGGATATCGTTGCACCGCTCCTTTAAAGGGGCGGTCCAACGATATTCAATTGGGATGTTTTTCACTCTACACGCGCTTACTGGCTCCAGTGGGACTCAAGGATACTCACACGCAACGAAACTGGCCAGAAAATGTTTTTGTTGCGGTGTAATTCAAAGAACAAAAGCGAGCGTTTTCCTTTAATCTCTCCTTCGCAAAACTTGTGAACGTAGCTAGGCGGTAGCAGTACCGCCCGGTGACGATATTTGAATACGGCTCATAGATTGGACCCGATCATTGCGTGCGCACTTGATTTGGGCTTGTGATAATCGATAGCCCTCCGAGAATCATTCGGGTAGTGACCCAGTGTCCAATCGCTGCAATGACGACAATAGCCGAACCATAACAATGTCTGGAACTCAGCGCGTGTCCTGTGCCTTGCCAACCCCAGCGCGTGGCTATGATCAACATTGGCGGCATATAATCGGCTCCAAAACACGCGGCCGCGCGTTCTGGCTGCGAGTTAAGGGGGTGAACGTTGCTCGTTTTTCTTAAATTTTTTCTGCAACTTCGATTGCGTGTGGTTAAAAACGAACGGGTATTTCACAGGTCATTAACGTCAGGGATTCGTCCTAGTAGTATTTGCGCAAAGTACAAAAACCGTTGCATTGGCCCTTTAAATCAAAATAAACTTCCAAATTCCAAACTACAATGAGTTGCACAGTCAGCATTGGGTAAAGATTAATTTATCCCTGAATATTTCGGTTCGCGTTCGGAGTCAAACACCGCCGCGAAGGAGATTCATTAACAAATGTTCGTGGACAGAACGAACTGTCACGTCGCGATAGGGCTTAACTTCAGCTTTGGGGCAAAGAAACTTCATTAGTTCAGAGATTCTGACTCGTTCTTCCAGTGAGGCTCTTGTTCAATTAGTAAAGCACCGCTTTATTTCTAGTTCACTCTAACCTGACGTAGCATGCATGTTCAAATAATAAAGCACCGATTTAATTCTAGTTCCAACCTCACGTTAGCACGGTGTTCGCGTTAAATCTGTGACCCGGGCTCTATCGAGATAAATGATGGAACAAATACACGCATGTAAACTTTTGCTGGGCAAACACAAAGTTTTGCACAAAAAAATCTAGACAAAACGTATTTTATAGTTCGATATCTAATAAGCATTGTCAACCAAGGCGCGTGATTCTGAAAAACTTCGGCTGCACGAGTCTGAAGGAATGCCGGGTATAGCTTGTTCTAGCTAGGGTCAAAAGAGCAGACTCCCCAGCGCTTCTGACGAACCAGCTGTCGCGATCGTGCGCATTCATTTTGCTGCTGGGTCTAAAGAAAAAGCTGAATTTGGTTTTCAATATTTGCTTCTTCAAAGATTAATGTACTCAAAGAGAAAGTTGTGGGTTTTGTTGGCATTTGAAATTTATTTAGGTGACGCTTTAGTAAAACCGAAAAAATAGCTTCGTTGTCCCTTCAAATGTAATCACACCTTCCGCCCACTTAGCATACTTTTCTTCTACGTTCGCGTTTGTTAATGTAGAACTAGAGCTGTAGAACGTAGAGTGGTTGAAGTGAGCTGCGCTCAGCCGTTCTTTTGGCAACGTGTTGACTAAGCGAAGATTAGAGTTCAGTGCTATAAAGTATATTGGTTTGGAACTGTAGGGAACCTTTTATAATAAGTATGCACGTAACTGAATTCAAAGTTAAGTTTATTAAATTTAATTTGCAGCTAAAATGTTCAGCTAAGTTTGTCCATCAACATTATGTAACGTTGCGCAGAGACATCGTTAGTATGCCCCTTTTCACCTCAAGAACCGTAGTAAAAAAAAAGTCCGGCTCATGACGGAGCACTACCAATTTCCACCCTTATGCGAGGAATTGAGATATACGTTTCTAAGTGAATTTTATATTACATATATGTTACGTTCTCAAAACGTACACGTTTCCAACGCCAAACGCATCCCTTTTTCCTCCGACAACCAAATCTCGTAACAACTATTTCGCGCGGCGTATGAACAATGCGCAGAACTTGCATTTTTCGAAGTGACAATGAGTGCAGTAAATTCATAAAATGAAGCTACTGGCACTAGGCACATATTTTAGTTATTTAGCTGCCGCCATGCAGTTATCCTCCTACTGCGCGACACAGCGCAAACAAGACATTGGTGCTTTTTTCGCGTTGAAGATTTTAAAAGAAAAACAAGGACAACCGGCTATCGCTTGTGTGTGTTACAGTGCCGCGCTGCATACAATGTAAGGCTGTGAACCTGTATGAAGGAAACTTTGGACAGGTTTTACACGTGCTGGAGAACTCAGGGATTATTGCAGAGTTTGACCCCCCACCACACTCTGTTTCGACAGCGATGGGAAACGTATACTGGTTTATGGCAGAATTCAAAATCCTAATTGACAGTGGAGGCCCTTAACGCCATTCGCGATATTTTCTCCACCTGTCATACTTGAACCCAAGAACATGCAAAAAAATGTAAAAAGGCGCATTACAGGCACAATGTCTTCGAGGCGGTGTGTCGATATGCGTTTCTGATGCCCTGTCAATTGTTGATGTATACACGGCATTCACCAGCTTGCCTGCGTTTTTGCTTTTTCATATTGTTCGTCTTATTTTGCTTTATACGCTCATAATCACAGAACGTGAAAATGTCGGGTCTTTTACAGACGAAGCACCTGAGCAAGTTGAGCAATTTTGAAGCACTAATTAAGAATCGACGCACCATCGCGGGAGTGAATCAGGTTAGAGAGACTCCCCCGTCCAAGCAGCTGCGACTTGATTTTCATGATGGGACCATCTCACAACCTTCCCTCGACAAGCTCGTTGTGAACTTTGTCAACGGCGGTATGCAGCGATTTTTTATAGTTGAAAATTTCTCTTTTGTCCTCCTCATAAGGGCACTTTCCCCCAAGAAAACTTTGCTGGCCCGTAAAGCGCTGATATCGCGCAGACAAGAGGAGTACATGGAAATGAAGGATCGCTTAAAGCAGGAGCTATCCAATGTTGCCTACGTGTGCATCACTGCCGACTGCTGGACGACTTTCCGCAGGTAAGTCGTATTTGTTGGTTTATCTTAAAAAGGAATTTTAAACATGTATATTTTATTTTTATTTTCACCAGGTGCTACATTGGCATAACTCTTCTGTGGCTTTTGTCACGCACACTGGAGCGAAGGTCAGCAGTTCTGGCATGCCGAAGGCTAGTGGAGCGAGTGACTGATGACATTCTGGCCGCTACAATTTCTGAAGTGCTTGAGGAATACGACCTACAAACCAAGGTGACAAGGGTCATCACTCACAATGGATCAAATTTTTTAAAAGCATTTAGGTGAGAATCGCGTTGTTGTTTGTTATAAATTTCCTGCATTAGAGGTGTGATATGGATATGATTATGATACGAGTACAGTTATTATGATTTTGTTTACAGCATCTTCGGGGAGAAGTCATTTCTGGGTAAGGAAGACGAGGAGATTGATATCGAAGGCGTTGACCTAAGCAAGCTGATAGACAGCGCCGACGAGGGAATTTGTCTACCCCAGCATCACCGCTGTACTGCCCACTGTCTGAACCTTGTATCTACCGTTGATGCTTCATGCGCAAGTGAAGACGAAGCGTTCTCAAAGATGTTCACTGTTATGTTGTATTGCGCGCGTTTCAGCACGTATGACGCGCCCCCTTTTTTTCTTTTGATCGCTCCTCCTCTGCCTACTCTTTCCCTCTCTGATAACATTCTATAAGTTACGCATGCCTGCCGGCCGCGCGTTCTTCTCACTCGCTCGCTCCGTCATGGAATAAAGTCATTCCACCTCGCCACTCGCCGAGCTGCTCTCGTCAATCCTGTTCGTCCACTCGCACGAACACTACATAATGGCGACGAGGACACCGAACCTGCCTTGGGATCTTGACTTCTGAAGATGAACCAAGAGATGGCCAGCTAACCAACCGAGACAGCGCCGAAAGCACCGAAAGCGCCGTCGACGCCGAGGCCATGACCACCAGTTTCGGGCAATTGGAACATTTTGATGAGTCTACTAGTGACTGGCTCTCCTACGAAGAGCGCGTGTTGTCTTTTCTACGAGCCAACAAAGTTCCGGCAGAACTGCAAGTAGACGCCTTCGTGAGTTTGATCGGACCGAAAACTTACGCCCTTCTCAAGTCTCTGACTGCTCCGGAAACACCGTCGTCAAAGACCTTTGAAGATTTGCGGCAACTACTGCGCAACCATTTATCACCCAAGCCGTCCGTAATTGGCGAGAGAGCGAAATTTCACCGACGGTCGCAAACGGAAGATGAATCCATTTCAGAGTTCGTGGCCGAGATACGACGACTCGCACAAACGTGCGAATTTGGAAACTTCCTTGATGAGTCACTCCGAGACCGCTTTGTCTGCGGCCTCCGACGAGTAGATATCCAGCGGCACTTGTTCAGTGAAGATAAGCACTTCACATTCCAAAAAGCCGTCGAACGTGCTTTGTCACTGGAGGCAGCTGTCAAGAACGCATCTGCGACCCACTCAAGGTCAGACAGCGCAGCCGAACTGAACAGGCTGCGCAGCTCGGGGCCCAAACCAAGGGTGATAACGGCGCATTGCTCTCGCTGCGGTTCACCCAAACACGAAGCCACGACGTGTCCACACGCACAAGCAACGTGTTACAAGTGTCACCGTCAGGGGCACATACAGAGAGCGTGCAAATCAAAGACAAGGTCGCCCAAGAAACGTTTTCACGTAAGGTCCTTGGAAACCAAAGATGACTTCCCTCCCAACGGCGTCAAAGCATCTGCTCGGTCTACGCCCATCATGGTTGAAGTTCAAGTTCAAGACACTCCGTTGTCGATAGAACTGGACACGGGCGCAGCCGTATCGATTATTTCAAGCAGCCTTCACAAGCTACTTTTTCCAAGTCTGCGCCTTGAGAAAACACCTCTTCGGCTGCGCACATACACGGGACAAGTCATCAAGCCCAACGGCGTGCTACATGTCAACGTCAAAAGCAGCGGCACGGAAGAAAAACTGTTACCACTCTATGTTGTACCGCAGACCGGACATCCGCTTTTGGGACGAGAGTGGCTTCAACACGTCCGGCTTGACTGGGACCGCATTCGAGACGTCAACGCCGTCACGCGCGCCTCGCCAACTTCGAACAAGCCTCCAGCTGAACTTGAGCGGCTTCTGCAAAGATTCAAGCATATTTTCAGCGACGAGCTCAGCAAAATCAATGGTGAGAAAGCCCGTCTTTATTTCAAGAACGATCAAAAACCCAGATTCTTGAAGGCTAGAACGGTACCGTTTGCATTACGTGCAGCCGTAGAAGACAAACTTAATAAGCTTGAAACATTAGGCATAACCTCTCCCGTTGCCAGCAGTCAGTTTGCGACGCCTGTAGTGCCAGTCATCAAACGTGATGGTTCATTAGACTTTGCGGCGACTATAAAGTCACGCTAAACCCTATCCTAGACTCGGAGAGCTATCCGCTCCCTAAATTCGAAGAATTATTTGCTGTCCTGGCTGGAGGAAAAAAGTTCTCGAAGCTAGACCTCAACCGAGCATACCAGCAGGTAGAAATGGATGAGTCATCTAAGAGTTACCCAACTTTGAACACTCACAAGGGACTCTACGTCGTAAATCGCCTTCCGTTTGGCATCGCGTCCGCACCGGCGATATTCCAGCGAATAATGGACAATATCTTGAAGGGTCTCGAAGGAGTCACTTGTTGCATCGATGGCATTATGGTAACAGGAAAAACTGACGAAGAATTGTTCCGCAATTTGGAGGCTGTGTTGCAACGCTTATCTGAGGAAGGCGTCAAAGTAAAACTGTCGAAGTGTGAATTTTTCAAGGATAAGCTGCAGTACTTGGGGCATATCGTAAGCCGAGACGGCGTTCAGCCCGCCACTGATAAGGTCGAAGCTATCATGAAAGCGCCGAGGCCAGCTGACTCGCACCAGTTGAAGTCGTTGCTGGGACTAGTGAATTACTACGGAAAATTTATTCCTAACCTTGCCAGCGTGGTTGCACCTCTCAACCGACTTTTGCGCGGCGACGTGCGCTGGTCATGGAGCGACAAATGTGAATTTGTGTTCCAGGAAGTGAAGAGGCTGCTGTCCTCTCCGCCGTTGCAGACTCATTACGATCCTGGAGCACCGTTGCAGCTGTCCGGCGACGCCTCAGCGTACGGCGTCGGCGCGGTCCTGTCTCACGTCGCTCCAGATGGGCAGTGTCGTCCGATTGCTTACGCGTCACGGACTTTGACTAAAGCGGAAGAAGGCCACAGCCAAAGGAAGCGTTAGCACTGGTATTCGGTGTAAAACGATTTCATTACTAGCTCTATGGGCGCAGTTTTGTTTTTGTAACGGACCATAAGCCCTTGCAGACCATCCTGGGACCGAAGACCGGCATCCCTACCCTAGCAGCAGCCAGACTACAGCGCTGGGCAGTTCTCCTTTCCGCGTACACGTTTACGCTAAAGTACAAGTCATCAAAGGAGAATGCCGATTCAGATTGCTTATCACGCCTGCCTCTTCAAGGTTAAAACGGCGATAGCGAAAAGCCGTCAGAAGAATGTTTCTTCTTACTACGCTTCAGTACGCTACCGGTTAACCACCGTGACGTGGCTCGCGAGACAAACTGGGACCCGGTGTTGAAGCAGATCGTGCAGTACGTGGCGAACGGTTGGCCGAATCGCGCGCCGAGTGACGATCTAAAGCCTTTTTTCCTACAGGCGCTGCGAGTTCTCACTGCAGCAAGGGTGCCTAATTCTTGGTACCCGTATCGTCATTCCGCGACGTTTCCAGTCCTTCGTGCTCGAGGAGTTGCACCAAGGACACCCCAGTGTTGTCAGGACAAAGGAGCTGGCACGAAGCTACGTGTGGTGGCCGACCATTGATCAGGACATCGAGCGACAGGTAGACGCATGCCAGCCTTGCCAGCTGCAGCGTAATTTGCCTTGCCCTGCTCCGCTACACCCGTGGGCGTGGCCCACTCGTCCCTGGGAACGAGTCCACGTGGATTTTGCGGGACCGTATAGAGGTGTCATGCTGTTTGTTGTTGTGGATGCTCATTCAAAATGGCCGGAAGTCTTCACAATAAAGCAAACAACTACCGAACGAACCATAAACTCATTACACGAACTATTTTGTCGTTTTGGGTTCCCAGAAACGCTCGTGTCAGATAATGGACCACAATTCACGTCTGCTGAATTCGCAAGCTACATGCGCAGGATCGGTACACGTCATATCCGCACGGCACCGTACCATCCAAGTAGTAATGGCCAAGCGGAACGTTTTGTCCAGTCTTTGAAGGTCGCCGCACTGCGCAAGGATCCAGCCCTCCCAGTGAACGAGGCACTGGCGGACTTTCTTTTGGCTTACCGGAACACTCCGCACACCACAACCGGGGAAGCGCCAGCCGTCCTATTGCTTGGCAGGTGTCTCCGCACACGGCTAGATGTTGTCAAGCTTTCAACCAGGGAAACTGTTTCTGCAAGGCAGTTTACCCAGACGCTAAAACGGCGTTCAGATGGTCGGCTCGGTAAACGGTTCTCGGTAGGCGACAGTGTGCGGTCCGAAATTTTCAACGTGGTGACAGGTGGTTTAGAGCCACGATTTAGCCCAAACCGGGCCGGTATCCTACAAGTTGTGTGTAACCACGCCGCGAGGTGTGTTTCAGTGGGAGCGACACAAGGACCACATTGTTCGGGTGCCACCGGAAGAGGACATCTCCAAGCCACTGGGACCTTTCAGGGAATCCGAGGTACCAGAGGCCTGCCAGGCTCCAGCACCACAAGAAGTGGCTCCTGCTCGACCACCACCAGCGGAACCAGCTCAGCAAGAGGAGCGGCGATACCCTTCTCGCCAACGAAGACCACCGAAGCGCTACGCCCCCTAGCCTATTGCTGAGTGTAGAACAAACTTATTTAGGCCCGAGGAGTGTTATGTTGTATTGCGCGCGTTTCAGCACGTATGACGCGCCCCCTTTTTTTCTTTTGATCGCTCCTCCTCTACCTACCCTTTCCCTCCCTGATAACATGCTATAAGTTACGCATGCCTGCCGGCCGCGCGTTCTCGCTCGCTCGCTCGCTCGCTCGCTCGCTCGCTTCGTCATGGAATAAACTAATTCCACCTCGCTACTTGCCGAGCTGCTCTCGTCAATCCTGTTCGTCCACTCGCACGAACACTACATTCACAACCGTGATGAGAAAGTGCAGGTGTCTTTGGGCCAAGCAGGGGCAGTCCTCAGTCGCTCCGGAAGCGGTGCACAAGGTGTGCGGCCTGTACCTGCCAACTCCAGTAACAACTCGCTGGAACTTGCTGTATGATTCATTAGAGTTCTTCCTGACTCTGAGAGGGAACGGAAAAGACCTACAAGCACTCTTCCGCACACTCCATCTTCCGCCTCTGAATGATCCGGTGGACTTCAAATGCATCGAAGAATACTGCGAGGTACGTTTCTAGATATGTCTCAACATGATGGTAACAGAGAAGAAAGCATTAGTTCCGAAGCCCTTGCCTTTTTTTACATGGTTAACGACTGCATCTGTACACATCGAACCACCTGCTTCGCTATTTTTACACTGATTGTATTATAGTTCGTTGCAACTCAAGAAGGTTGGGCGAGGGTAAGATGAGCCGGGGAGGAGGAAGCAGACGGAACGGTAAAGAGAGAAGGAGGTTCCCCCTCTCTTTTCCAGCGTTCCGTCTGCTTCTTCCTCCTCGGCCCGTCTTACCCTTGCCCTACCTTCTTGAGTTACAACGGACTATAGTCATCCTGACGTCAATCATACAAAAATAAATCGGATGTTTAAAATGCTTATGCGACTGCAAGGCACCTACCCCACCTATAAGATATTTTAAGCTTATGA